CCATTCTCTCCACATGCCCAAACCATCTTAGTGCACCACTATGCAAAACTTTGTCAATACTCACAGTATCCAGGTTCCCTCTAAGTTCTGAACAGGGGTTCCTATCTTTCGATGTCACATTGCACATCTGCCTCTCCATTTTCACTTCAGCTTGCTCAAGCCAACTTACTTCACCTTCTTTAACCACCCAAGTTTCATCGCATACATCTGTCCTTTCACATGGAGGGAAGATTCTCTTTGCACCAATAAAGGGAGCAACTCCCTTAAGTTTCTCCAGCCACTGAGACTCTTAAGGCATAGTCACACGTGCCAAATATTAATGGGAAATCAATAATTCCAGCAACTTTTTCTGTCAGAATTCTCCATCACCCTGATTGATCTTTGATATTCTAAAGTAATATTTCAGAATATATCCTTCACAAATAAATCCCACATATGCCTGAAATTTGCTTAGTATGAAACATCTATTTAGTATTACATAGATAAAATACAAGCTAAAATATGAAAGTACTGTATTGTTAAATTAGAAATCACAACAAAATAGTGATGCATGAATCTGATGTTCAACTCCACATTGTCCAAGTAAATATGGGTTCTTGGCTGTGAGTGGCATCACTAGATATATTCACTCTGAAACTTCACCTTGCTCATGCATTGAAAATCATAGACTGACTGAGGGTCTTCCAGATTGATTTCTCACACTATATTATGGTAAACATTCTTGCTGTCTCTTCTTGCCAACCAGGAGCTTAACCACATGCATTTTTTCTAGCGTTTAACCTTCTTTAATTGAAGTGCAGATGTTAAAGGCAGTGTTAGCTGCTGCAGTCATGTACATGGATGCCATTGCTTGGTTTGGTTGCTGAAATAGTCAGCAATCCTGTATGATGAATCTTTTGTGTGTGTGACCCCTGGGCTGATGAAATCTCTTAATTTAATGCCTGTTGACGAGACGGTTTCAACGATTTTGATCAGTGCGCCACCTCCAGCACTGATCATGTCATCCAAATAACAGAACTCATCAACACAGTCCAGGGACATATTCCCACTGGTGAGTTTCCCCAGCCTTGTTAAGGCCACATGATTACCTGCACATATAGAACACTTGAAATTGGCAACATCTTACAGTCTGCCATATACAGTTAACCCTCACTTTACGCGGTTAATGTAACCCGGAGGGTCCCGCGTAAAGTGAGAAACGCGTAAAGTGAATAACATAACATATGGGATTAATTGAAATGGAGTCCGGGCCGACCCCCAAACTCCACTTTTTGACGACACACAAATATGTTGTAGTAAAAATATTATCTTAACTTTATGGTGGTATGCACACACAATTAATAATTAAGAGAAATATCAATAATATTAGGTTTTTTAACACTTACATAAGTAGAAAAAATGGCTGGGCACACGGGGATGGGCGGTTGGTTCCGAGGCAGAGGGCAGATTATTGGCCCTCACCTGTGTCACTTATATCAATTGTATCACTATCCACCACAGAGGCTTGCAGGGCCTCTTTGTCAAACTCCCCAAAGTCCATATAAGTCCATATCCTCACCATAATTATCACTATCACTGACTTGGGCCGGCTGTGGTGGGTGGCGGGTGAAGAACTGGTAATGTTTTGATGACTGGGCGACCTTGTGCTCACCATGTTCGCGCAGCTTACACAACATGGCGGATGGCAGGAGGTTTGGATCCAAAAATGGCGCGGCTCGCCAGCCGCTCTCCGCGTAAAGGGGTACACGCACCGTGGAATGTGAGCATCCTGGGTTCCGGCAGGGCACCGCGTAAACGTGGAAACGCGGAATGTGGGACCGCGTAAAGTGGGGGTTAACTGTACTCCATTATACCTCTTTTGTACTCACCTTCCACATGCTCATTGTACATTACAGTAGTACTCCGATTTACGCGGTCAATTGAACCCACGGGGTACCGCGTAAATGGAATATCAGAACATATGGGATTAATTCCAAGAGAGACTGGCCCGACCCCCAAACTCCACTTTTTCATACACAATACCTACGTTGTAGTAAAAATAACATCTTAATTTTATGATGGTATGCTCACACAATTAATATTTAAGAGAAATATCAGTAATATTAGGTTTTTTAACACTTACATTACAGGTTGACAACCCTTTATCCGAAATTCCGAAAACCGAAAATCTCTGAAAACCGAATTTTTTTTTTTTTTTTTTTAAACAGGGATTAGCCCACCCAGGCATAGATCATTGACCCACATCGGGGCCTGGGGGGCAAAAATGTAATAGTAATAATAATAATAATAATAATTATAATTATTCATAGTAAATAAAAATTTTAATAAAAATACACCAAAATAAAATAATAATAATAATAATAATAATAATAATAATAATAATAGTAATAATAGTAATAATAAAATTAATAATAATAATAATAATAATAATAATAATAATAATAATAATAATAATAATAATAATAATAATAATACTGTAATAATAAAATAATAATAATAATACTGTACCGTATATCACGGCCTATAAGGCGGCGGGGTGCATAAGACGCCCCCCCCAAATTTCCATTTAAAAAGTAGCTTTTGAGCTCTATTTGCTGTATAAGACCAGTACCCCAAATGTGACACTTACCCACTGACTCATTAGTCCTTTACCAACCATCCTTGATTTTTTAAAATAAGGCCAATTCACTTCAAGTAATGTCATCAAATTATACCCGCTGGTGTAGTGTAAACACTAGTGACGTCACTGAAGCGTGTTGGGAGTGTTCCCTCGTCTCGGTGGTGTGACTATTTATACAACATGTGGTTCAACAGCAACCACCGTATTCTAATTGTGGTGTTTCATTAGGATTTGAGTGAAAAAGGTTACCAGTATGTACTTACTACATACATTTATTACACAAATATATATATATATATATATATATATATATATATATATATATATATATATATATATATATATATATATATATATATATATATATATATATATATATATATATATATATATATATATATATATATATATATATATATATATATATATATATATATATATATATATATATATATACTGAATATACTATGTACAAAAAATGAATGTTCAATGAATTATTTATGGTGCATTAGGGTACTGGTCACTTCTGATGGGCTATAAATAGCTTGTTATCTCCCCTCCATCTCACCCTGAGCCAGACGGAAGGGTCTTGGTAAATAACATGTTTGCTTATTTTCCATTTACTTTAAATAGATTTACCGAATTATTTGTTTTATTTATTTATTTATAATATACTGTAATATATTAAACACACTGTAATTATTTTCTTTAATTTATAAACTGTTTTGCGACAAAGGAATGTTCTCCAGTAGTGTTTCATTAGGATTTGAGTGAAAAAATATTACGTACTTACACAATTGTTCCTCTTACTTTGACAACACAACATACATACAGTATATTATTTCTCAGTTTTGATCTTTTTTTTTAATTTTTGTATTTATTTATAGTTAGTTACTTAAAATAAGGCCAATTCACTTCAAGTAATGGCATCAAATATTACCAGCTGGTGTAGTGTAAACACTAGTGACGTCACTTGAGCGTCTGTAATTAACCGTCGATAGTTTCAAGAATTAATGCACTCATTTACTGAATATTCTTTGTAAAAAAATAAAATTTAAATCAATTATTTATAGGAGATAAATATTATTATGAGTAAATATACCGATACCGGTATGCATTACTGACCACCTCCACGGCTCCTCACTGGCAAATGGGGGGGGGGGCGTGGGGAGGGGTGTGTGATGATAGCTGTGTTTATTATAGGGGTATAAATCTCTTTTACGGTATGTTAGACAGGTTTATAATACATTTTTATTATTTTAATATACCGGTAATCTTAATTTGAATCCAGCTTGCCAAACGTAAGTTTCAGTATAAAATAATTAGTGGTAAGACCTTGTGAGTGGCTTACGATGTTTTCATCACCACTCTTGACACACTAAACCACAATATTTAAGAGGTAAGAATTTTAAACTTGGTGGTTTAGACGACCCCCTAACTTTGGGCAGATTTTTTTAATGTTCAAATTTCGTCTTATAGGCCGTGATATACGGTAATAATAAAATAATAATACGTAATAAAGAAATACAAGAATGAAAAAAAGATCAAAAGTGAAAAACACGACCTAGACCTATGAATTATTATTTTTATCATTTTTATTATTCCAGGCCCCAATGTGGGCCAGTGATCTATGCCCGGATGGGCTAATACACATAAAAAAAAAAAAAAAATCAGAAAACCGAAATATTCCGAAATCCGAAATGCCTCTGGCCCCAAGGATTTCGGATAACGGATTGTCAACCTGTAGTAGAAAAGATGGCTGGGCACATGGTTCCGAGGCAGAGGGCAGATTATTGGCCCTCACCTGTATCACCTGTATCAATTGTATCACTATCCACAACAGAGGCTTGCAGGGCCTCTTTGTCAAACCCCTCAAAGTCCATATAAGTCCATTTCCTCACTATCACTGACTTGGGCAGGCTGTGGTGGGTGGTGGGTGAAGAACTCGGAATGTTTTGATGACTGGGTGACCTTTGTGCGCATCCTGCCCGCTCCGCTTCCCGCGTATATGAGTAGATGCACCGCTTAAAATGAAATTCCGGTTCTGGCGAGGTACCACGTAAATGTAGAATCGCGTAAACGAGAACTGTGTAAATTGGGATATTCCTGTATTTAGTTGCTGCCAACACCTTTCTTATAGATAGCACAAGTTTTTTCCACTTTCCATCACAGGGCCCTCACTCTGTACACTTGGACTTTTAATCTTTGACTGCAGTATTATATTATTAAGGAAGAAAGGATATTTTCTGATGTTAAGTTGTTAGTTTAATTATTTTCTCTTTGATGTTTTGGTTCTTTTAAAGAAAGAATATTTTCACTGGTAAAGTAAATAAAATTTTAATTTTCATGAGTTTACTCACAGATAATTATTTGTGGACAGGTTCTTCAAATTGGATGCGATTTGTGCGAAAAGCCACAGTGTACCTCGAGCAGAATTGTGTGGTATTGCAGATAGATGGGGGTTTGTTTTTCCTCACCACCGCTGACATAGCAGCCCGTACAGAACTCAGAGTTGGGTAGGTCATATTAAACTTTTTTACCTGTTATCATATAATTTACAATATACTGTATATCAATATACATTTCATTTAAATTCATTAATTTTTATTTTAAAGCAATATATCTGTATATTCTCAATAATTTTCAACAGATACTCAAAACAGTATGCTGACAAGCGGAACTTGCAGACCCTGGAGCCCACAGAGGATGAGGTTAAAAGTGAGAGATAATTGTTCTTTAAATGAAAAAGAAATAGTTTCCACATTGAACATTTATGTTATTATAAATACAATCCAGGTATGGCAAGTATATACAGCTACTCCTCGACTTATGACCACCTGGACATATGACCGCCCCAGTCGTACCAAAATTTTTTCAAATGACTTATTTTCGAGTCTTGACGCTAGTGATTGCGCTGTATTCTGACAAAATTTTTGTTTGTAATTCCCTTTAATTTGGCTGGCATGCTTAAAAGTGAGAGTTTTGTGGTGCTGAGAAGAAAAAGAGACACCCATTTTAGATTTTCTATGTACCTTATTTTTTGGCTTAAAAGACGCACTTTTTATGACAACAATATACAGGTTGTACCTCTCTAGTCCGGCATTCTGTGGTCCGGAAACTCCCGTGGTCCGGAACGATTTTAGTTTGTCCAATGGGTAGATAGGCATTTTTTTTTTTTTTTTTTTACTTATCTAAATAATTATTAGTATTGCAGGAGTATTAAATTTTTGCCCCCTCAGGCCCCAATGTGGGTCAGTGACCTATGCCGGGTGGGCTAATCCCTATAAAAAACAACAACAACAAGCGGGGAAATTAAGGTTTGTTTACATCCGGCAGTTCGGCTGCTCTCTCTCTCTCTCTCTCTCTCTCTCTCTCTCTCTCTCTCTCTCTCTCTCTCTCTCTGTCTCTCTCTCTCTCTCTCTCTCTCTCTCTCTCTCTCTCTCTCTCTCTCTCTCTCTCTCTCTCTCTCTCTCTCTCTCTCTCTCTCTCTCTCTCTCTCTCTCTCTCTCTCTCTCTCTCTCTCTCTCTCTCTCTCTCTCTCTCTCTCTCTCTCTCTCTCTCTCTCTCTCTCTCTCTCTCTCTCTCTCTCTCTCTCTCTCTCTCTCTCTCTCTCTCTCTCTCTCTCTCTCTCTCTCTCTCTCTCTCTCTCTCTCTCTCTCTCTCTCTCTCTCTCTCTCTCTCTCTCTCTCTCTCTCTCTCTCTCTCTCTCTCTCTCTCTCTCTCTCTCTCTCTCTCTCTCTCTCTCTCTCTCTCTCTCTCTCTCTCTCTCTCTCTCTCTCTCTCTCTCTCTCTCTCTCTCTCTCTCTCTCTCTCTCTCTCTCTCTCTCTCTCTCTCTCTCTCTCTCTCTCTCTCTCTCTCTCTCTCTCTCTCTCTCTCTCTCTCTCTCTCTCTCTCTCTCTCTCTCTCTCTCTCTCTCTCTCTCTCTCTCTCTCTCTCTCTCTCTCTCTCTCTCTCTCTCTCTCTCTCTCTCTCTCTCTCTCTCTCTCTCTCTCTCTCTCTCTCTCTCTCTCTCTCTCTCTCTCTCTCTCTCTCTCTCTCTCTCTCTCTCTCTCTCTCTCTCTCTCTCTCTCTCTCTCTCTCTCTCTCTCTCTCTCTCTCTCTCTCTCTCTCTCTCTCTCTCTCTCTCTCTCTCTCTCTCTCTCTCTCTCTCTCTCTCTCTCTCTCTCTCTCTCTCTCTCTCTCTCTCTCTCTCTCTCTCTCTCTCTCTCTCTCTCTCTCTCTCTCTCTCTCTCTCTCTCTCTCTCTCTCTCTCTCTCTCTCTCTCTCTCTCTCTCTCTCTCTCTCTCTCTCTCTCTCTCTCTCTCTCTCTCTCTCTCTCTCTCTCTCTCTCTCTCTCTCTCTCTCTCTCTCTCTCTCTCTCTCTCTCTCTCTCTCTCTCTCTCTCTCTCTCTCTCTCTCTCTCTCTCTCTCTCTCTTCTATACAGAGTACAACATTTAACCCTTCAATATATATGAGCAGTAAATAAGTGTTGTTTTCATATTCTTATGTAGAGTAATGACGATATGTTTTCACATGAGCGCACTTACATACGCGCAGTCTCACTTTTTTTTTACCATTAATGGTTAGCTACTTATATTGTTCCATTAAATAACATTACAGGTACTTCAAACAACTATATTATTTTTTATACATTAATTTTACTACAGCTACAATCAGGGTCTTATTTTCTTCAGTTTTATATGTAGAACCAATCAGTCACTGGTTTTGTAAGCTTTAACATAAACAATGCCGGCAGCCGTCTCGTCTCATCGTGTGTTTGAATATTCCACGTATTATTAATAAATTGTATTGTTAATTTTGCGCACACAAACATTAATTCAATAAAAACAAATTCAGAAACATTATTTAAAATATATATGAACAGTAAATAAGTGTTGCTTTCATATTCTTATGTAAAGTAATGACGATATGTTTTCACGTGTGCGCACTTACATTATCGTTAGCTACTTCTATTGTTCCATTTATTAACATTAAATAACATTACTTAAAACAACCATATTAATTTTACTACAGCTACAACCAAGGTCTTATTTTCTTCAGTTTTATATGTAGAACCAGTCAGTCACTGGTTTTGTAATCAACGAAAACAATGCTGTGTCATTTCCTCGTGTGTTTTAATATTCTACGTATTATTAATGAATTGTGTTGCTCATTTTGCACACATAATCATTAATTCAATAAAAAAGACATTCAGTAATAAACAATAATGAATCTTTTGTACATAAGAGAAGTGACGCTGTTTACACGATTATGCACGTTGGCGGCTCGTTCAAACCTGTCGAAATTCAAGTTTCCGCCGTCAAAATTGTTATTTATTTTTTTGTGTGTGTGTGTTCCAATAAAATACGTTGCATTAAAAACTCGTGAAATTTGAGAAGCTACTATACGACATTTAACCCTTCAATATATCTTCAAAGAGACCATGATGCAGAGAAAGTGGTGCTAGTGCTTCCAAGCATAAGCGCAAGTCACTATCTATCCAGGAAAAGGGTGAATTTCCATGGTCCGGCACCGGTCATGTCCCGAGGTTGCCGGACTAGAGAGGTACAACCTGTACCTCGAAAATTACCATGCGTCTTCCAGGACACTAGTCGATGAGTTGTAGCAGAGGTTTTTGAAATCAGCCCGTTATAAAGACTGTTACCTCATTACAGTACTTAACAATTACAAGGATTCTCTATACAGTACTATAAAACTATTGATTTAACTAATATTGTTGATATATTGCAAAAAAAAAAAAAATAAACCCTTGCTGCTGTGTGGTTTGTTTACTAATGGCAGTGTTGCGGCAGCACCATCCATTGAGGAATTGCTAAAGGTTGTCGCTGGTCTCAAATGCAGGAATGTTTGTTTCTTTATATGTAGGCTCTCATATTTGGACACCTATTTAGTCTGTAAAAACCCCACAAAATTTTAATCTTCCAAATTTAAATACAACTTCGTCATCCAAGTCAAAACACACACACAACAACATTGGCTGTCCTTACTTTACTACCACTGGTGGGTAGAATTTTTTTTTTAATTCAGAAACATTAATTAAAATATATATGAACAGTAAATAGGTGTTGCTTTCATATTCTTATGTAGAGTAATGATGATATGTTTACACATGTGCTCACTTACATACGTGATCTCACCTTTTTTTTTTACCCTTAATTGTTAGCTATTTCCATTGTTCCATTTATAATGTATTGTCTAATGGTAGACCCTGCTGCTATGTGACCAAGTCCCAGGTTGATGATCTGACTTTCTGCAGGGTCTCAATTGTTTCTCTTACTTTGACAACACAACTTACATACAGGTATATCGTTTCTCACTCTTGATATTTTTTTTTCATTTTTGTATTTCTTTATTATTATTATTATTATTATTATTATTATTATTATTATTATTATTATTATTATTATTATTATTATTATTATTATTATTATAATAATATTTTCGCCCCCTAGGCCCCAATGTGAGTCAGTGACCTGTGCCCAGGTGGGCTAAAACCCATAATTTTTTTTTTTTTTAGAATTTCATTTCCAAAATCAGGGTGCGTCTTCCACGATGCAGCATCTTCCAAGCCGAAAAATACGGTACCTGTATTATCTTCGCATTTTCGACTTACGACCTATTCGACTTACGACCTGGATTTGGGTCCCTAACCCTGTTGTAAGTCGAGGAGTGGCTGTACAGTATACAGGTTATACAATATTCTGTACAGTATACAGGTTATACAATATTTTAATGTAAGCCTTTAATTTAGGTTTGTTGTTTACATAAGAAAATACAAAAGATTTATCTCTGCCATATGTTCAATCAACAGACCAGATCTTCATCTTCCAGTAGGGTGATAGATTTGTATGTTAGGGACCATGGTTTACTGTGAATAATTGGTAGATGGTACACACTTAGTCCTATAAATACGTAGTCATTAAATACACTTTATTTCCTTCCAGTTTTGGACTCTTTAAAAAAATCTTGGCCATGTTATGAGTGTGATGAAGGTTTTGAGTCGTCAGCTGAACTACAGCAGCATTTAGTGTGTCATGATGAGGTCAGTGATTACTTCAGTCATTTATTAAATGCAGTAAAATTATATTGACCAACTATAGTTCAAGTTATTCAATTGAAAAGATTTGAATTTGATAACTTAGTGAAGTATTATCCTTGTTGTTTATATGAATGATTTTATTGTAGGAGGTTGGGGAGGAGGAACGAAGGAAACGCAAGAGGATAAAGACGAGGCGGCCACGTGGCAATGGGGAGACTGAGCCCGGGATAAAGAGGCTGATTAAGAGGGTTAAGGTTAAATACTATTGTTACTGTGCACCCAAGATTAATCTATTTATTAATTGCTATATGATCATATAATAGGGATGAATTTGATCTTGTAATATATAGTCATCTTTTGTTACTTCTTTCAACTGAATAACCTTGATATATTTTTTGTTGAACTAGGTGTGTGGAGAAGGAAACTCAGGTGTTGGCAGTTCTCAAGCTGTATCTCCAGGGTATGAAAATTTTGGCGTTTGTTCTGTTTTCTTTAATTGTTGCACGAGTATATGTAGTGTCCGTCAGTTTATCCTTAGATCTTTTCTATCTAGCAGCTTCATTGTATATTTTAGGTGGGAAAGTACAGCAGTCTTTTAAATTATTTTAGGTACTGGGCATCATTTTACATTGCTATTGATTGAGCCTGGTAACCATACAGTGAACATTTATTAGGACAAACAGAGTACTCTGTACAGTATTGTACAGTTGCAGTCAAAAGTAATCATCCACTCCTCTGACTACCATACCTGTGAGCTCAAGGCCTTTCTACATGATGGGGCACTTGAGGTTGGAGGAGATATTGATGGGGGGAGAGCTTTCAGACAAATACTGAGTATGTCTGTTAAGCTAATACTATGCACATAACTGTATAATCATATAAAGTACAAGGAGTGTATATAACAGTAGAACCTCAATATATCGCACTAATTGGGGCAGACCCCAGTCCGAAAAATGCGAAAGTCCAAAAGCAAGTGAATATATAGGGGGAGGGGTGGAGATAACTTTGCTTATCTGAACTGTTTAAAGAATATCAGTTGTTTTTATATTATTACTGCACTTCAACAACTAAGGTCTTTAAGGGGAGCGTCCAGCTGAAGCACAAAATTCGTTAATAATTGATCTATCAATATAAATTTCCTGTCAGCAATTAAGGACACCAGATACATTGTTGCTATACCCCTGAAACAATTTTGCGTAGTCCCTTATCCCTGATACCTAATTTTTCCCATATACAGTAGACTCTTGCCAATAATGTCTAATAGGTGCCTGAAAAATGCCGTTATTAGCGAAATAAAATTAATTGTTATTTAATCATCAAAATAAGAATTTGAGTAATATAACACTTAGCTTGGGGAAGTTTTTGAGGTGCTTGGTGTGATGATTGTTCCGAGGCTGGGGCATGGAGGCTACTGCGTCGAACCTCAGCCCACTTCCTTGGCCCCATCTCCGTCCCCACGCTGGCCTCTCGCACCCGGTTCACCCACTTCCGCTAACACTTCATCAAACCCCGTAAAGTCAAAATCTTCAGGCATTTCCCTAATGCCATCAATGTCTTCATCATCTTCAACCTCTCTCTGTTGGTCTTCCTCGGCTGGCCAGCGTTGTGAAAGAAAGCGAGTGATGAGTGACTGCTGCCGGGCATTCACTCGCTCGTTGTACTGCTTCTGGTATTTTCTTGAAATAGATTCTACAAATCCAATCATTTGCTCCCTTTCACCTGAGTCACTCTCAATGTCTTGTATCATCTCTTGAGGGCTGGTACAGACACCCAATAAGAGTGACAGCTTCTGTGTCGTCACTTTCCTCTGCTCGGTCTCCCCTGCGTCACTCTCTGCATCACCACTCTCACCGCCTTCTTCATCCTCCAGGAGATCCTCGACGTCATTTGTGTTACCTTCTTGTATCAGTTCTTCTAAATCTTCCCGAGTCACTTCTTGAAATCCTGGGGCTGGGATACTGCGGACGGTTTCCAACACTTGGTTCATTAACTCTGCTGGCTGCTGTCTCTTCGTCTCGGCAGACTTGAGTTGTGGCAGGAGTGCCGACCAGGCATGCCAAACGGTTGCTTTTGTAGTATTTCTCCAGGTTTTTACCAAAAAATTGACTGCCTGGCGAATTTTATAATTTTTCCAGAAGGCAGTAACAGTCATTGTGGAGGTTGAAGGTACGCCAAGTGGAGCAGGGGTGGCGGGGGTTGCCGGTTAGCCAGGCAGAGCAGCGGAGGCGGCAAGGGGAGGGAGGGGAGGATCCTCCTCCTCCTCGCTACTGCTCACAGTTTCAGCAATTTCCTTCACTTAACTTCTTGCTTATCAGTTTCCTTCCTCATCTTGTCATGGACATATTTGTAGTACAGCAACTTTACATTTGCTATGATTTCTTGGTCTAGTGGCTGTATTTTGGAGGTTGTATTTGGTGGTAGAAACACAACCTCAATGCTAGGGTGACGTTCTACTAGAAATCGTGCATGACTGGGGGCATTGTCTAGAAAGAGCACCACTTTGAAGGCTATATTCTTCTTCCGGCAGTATTCTTTGGCATCCTTAACAAAACAATCATCAAACCACTTCTTTAATAACTCTGTGGACATGTAGCCTTTATTTGTCTTTTCCCAGTAGACATTCAGTTTGGACATATCACATCCCTTGTAAGCTCTTGGTCTTTTATATTTGTAGATCACCAGAGGCTTCATGAGGCAGTCACCTGAAGCATTACAGGTTAGGAGGACACGAAAGCGATCCTTAGCCATTTTCACACCTTTTGCCTGTTTTTCTTTCTTAGATATAAATGTTGCTTTAGGGGATTTTTTCCAAAACAACCCGGTCTTGTCACAGTTAAAAATCTGATCCAGGGTATAACCTCCCTCTTGAATGATTTGATTGGCAACTTCAGGGAAGGAATCTGCAGCCACTAAGTCAGCAGACGAAGCCTCACCCTGATACTTTGCATGCTTTGTGCCACTTCTATCCTTAAACTTATGCAGCCACCCTACTGAGGCATTGAAAGGAGGGGAGACTTAATGTTTTTCTTTCGAGCTACAGCAGCGTACAATACCCTTGCTCGATCTCGTATCTGAGGGCCGCTAACACTTGCACCATCTTTCATTCTTCATGCTACCCATTTCACAAGAAAATGTTCTGTTATCACTAATAACCTGTTTCTATCACTTTTATCATTCATAGCTCGCCTCGCATTTCCATCACTACCGAAATATTTCTTAGCCAGCGCTATACTCTTCTTGGTCTCTTCTAAGTTCCTCTTAATATTTCGCACTGTAAACTCAGGACAGTTCAATTTCCTCACAATATTAATGTTCCGTTCACCACTTTCAATGAGTTCAACAATCTGTTCTTTATCCTTGACCGAGTAGGCATGCTTTTTGGCTTTGTCTCTTAGCTTTGGGGTCTTTTTTCTCATTCACTTTAAAAGTTCCCAGGCGTTCAGGCGGCAAATCACTCCCTCCACCACCTCCCCTAGCCCCCACAGGCAAAAACGCGGAAGCCATTGTTGATCACCGACCCTAGCAACCACTGGTTATAGAGGCGAAAGTTTCACACGTGGGCGCAGCGCTGTATTCCACGGAGCGTGTGTGAGAGTGAGAGTGAGGCGGAGCGGACAACTACGTCATCAACATGGCGGCAAACAAACGCTATCATTGATGCGCTCGGAAGCTTCCCGCGAAATCTCTGTTATTCAAGAGAATCCAGACATTATTATTGAAAATGGGTATCTATTGTAACTTACTGTAATTGTCGAAAACGTTATTGTGGAAGACGTTATTGGCGTGAGCCTACTGTATTCTAATAATTTTTCAAAATCCTATTTCTCCATAACTTCTCACTAGATTACGTTGAAATTCATGATTTACTTCTCTGGAAATATCTGTAGAATTTAACACTCGCCTTTTATGGTGGAGGAAATAGTTTGTAGAGGCTACTCAAGGTGACGGCAGTGTGCAAATAAAAAAAAATGAAAATAACACTAATAATTTATTAAATTTATTAATAATTTTTAATAGAATGTGCTTAGATGAAAATGTTGAAGTAAGTTGAATTTCTATAAACTCAACAATATTCATTATCATACTAGATGTGCATTTTGATGGTTGGAAATGGTAGGAAAAAGAATCCCTCTTATTAACAGATTTCCTCCTATTAATGGAATCCTCCCAATAATGGACAGGACTTGCATGAATTAGTCTGTAATTGGGAGGGTTTATGGTATTAGGCATCCTGAGCATAGGATTTGAGCCCCCATAGAGTGAGTACTGCAACTTGAGTCACCTATTTTGTGTTAGAATTAAACAAATTATTTCAGGATCAATCCCCGTAATTGCTCTTTTGTGTTTACAAATTAGCATATGGTAATATGATGGAAATGTTTTAGATTCAAGAAAATATAATGAACATTATTGTGAAAAGTTCTTGTTTTTACAGCACGAGTGGAAGTGTTGTGCTTGAGGACTGCCTCCAGCACAATCAGTGTGTGATATGCAGCCTTGTTTTCACTATGCCAGAGGTATGTGTGCTCTGCACTTAGATATATTTGTAAACTGGTAAGAGGAGCTAATTTTGAAGTACCCTGTACAAGTGTACAGTATACGTAGTCCACTAAAAATCAAATGAGAACACTTGAAAACTGAGTTCATTATGAATCTGACCAAAGAAAAATGATCTCCTTATAATGGGAGCAAGGTTAATAAGATAAATATTAAGTACAACTGTAGATATCCAAAGCTTTTAGGACAAGGAGTACTCTGGATTTGTATACGTTCTAGTTTTTCAATGATTAAGTTCTCTAAACACATGAGTGTGCATAAGGTGCAGTGGTGTAAATGATAGACTGCCGGATGTTGCTGACTTTAAGTGTGCTGTACAGTAAGTCCCCGTTGAACATTAATCCCTTGAATGAATCCCCAATATAATGAAAGCAAGTTTTTGCTATCCATTTAACAAAAGAATGTTATACTATTATGAAAGGTAAGTCACCCCCACCTTTCTGCTTTCTCACCACCAGCTCCATGATCACCACCATCACCACCACTACCTCTATTATCACCACCTAAATCATAATTTCAATTTCTCACTTATTTCCCACCCACTGCATCTCCCCGATACTCTGCCTCTTTCACTTATTCCATTATGACTATGACTGTCATTCATGATAGTACAATATTGTACATTGTTTATTTGTTATTCTCACTCCATAATTTAAAGTTAAAGTAACATAATGTAGAAGGAATATGATGTTCATTTATACTTACATTCAGTTTTGTGAGTAGACATCAGCTGTTCAATTGTGTCTGGCAGTGCTGCAAAAAGTGTTCCCAAACAAACTGATTGACGCATCATCTCCTCACCACTTACCACAATCTCCCCCTCCACCACCAGCTCCATGATCACCACCATCACCACCACTACCTCTATTATCACCACCTAAATCATAATTTCAGTGATGCAGAGGTGGATTTGCTTTAGCCAGAGCAGATCAGCTCATCCACTGCCTCCCAACCCACTTCCCACCTTCCTCCCTCCCTTCTACCCTCCTACCCACTGCATCTCACTGACACTCTGCCCCCCTCACTCATTCTACTACGACTGCCATTCATGATACAATATTGTACAACAAAAAATACTGTATTGCCAAACCAGTAAATAGAAGCCAAATGAAAGTTAAACACAGTCACCATTTGCATACACTCCCTGCTTAACCATAGTACCAGAGACCAGTTGGGAGTGACCTTCACCATCTCCCTAGCAATGCTCCCCCCACCACTACACTCTGCACCCTTCTCTCCTCCCTCACTGAGCCAGCTAGCCAGCTAACTCGTGTGCAAAAAAAATGTATATTCCCTTATGTGTTTGTCCTTAGGACAATTATTTCTTTTACTTTTTTTCACATTATGTATGTAGGATGGTGTGTGCATGTAACCGAGTTGAAAAACAGCTACAACACCTCACAGCTTGACCCAGTAGCCTGGTGGTTGCAGAGATGAGTCTAACCTGGCTACAGCACCATGAATAATCACCATTAAGTACTATTCTATCAATAAACACTAATAATAACAGTGAATCCAGTGAAATATGGCAGAGAGTGAGGAGAGTTACAACTGCTGATGACACTCAACTAGCAGTCACTCAGTCCCCTTACCCGCTCCTGTTGCCAGGCGTAGCCAGGTGTACGTATGGGAGAAATACATATCTTGTATGTGCTTAGTCTAATTTGAAAACGGTGATGGGCACAGTGATAAACAAATTATATAGACCATGCATTTACCTACGATAACATCATAAGAAACATTATCATTATTAGAGTGAATGAAATATTCCCATAAACAAGAGTTGACAACCTTTAAGTTGTACATGTTTTATTGTTTTTATTACATTATTTTGAGGAGTTGCAATTATTTTGTCACAGAGCTTAGTAAAGTACAATTTTTTTAATGCCTTCATGTTGTAGTAACTTTTCCACACTACTGTACAAGTATTAAGAACATAAGAACATAAGAATGGAGGAAACTGCAGCGGGCCTATTGTCCCATACTGGGCAGTCCCATTTACACCCAACCCTGTTACTCATATATCCATCCAACCTATGTTTGAAGCTATCCAGCGTATTCGAGTTAATGATGACATTTGATATCTTGTTCCACTCGTCCACTACTCTATTTCCAAACCAATGTTTACCTATTTTGCGCCTTAATCTAAATTTGTCTAATTTAAAACCATTGTTACGAGTTCGTTCCTGGTTGGATAGTTTGAGTACCTTTGTAATGTCCCCTTTGTTCAGCCCCGACTTTCATTTACAGTCAACCCTCGCATTACGCGGTCCCACTTTACGCGTTTCCACGTTTACGCGGTACCCTGCCGAACACGGAATGCTCACTTTCCGCGGTGTGTGTACCCTTTTACTCGGAGAGCGGCGCTAGCAGGGTGCGCACAAGGTCGCCCAGTCATCAAAACATTACCGAGTTCTTCTCCCGCCACCCACCACAGCCGGCCCAAGTCAGTGATAGTGATAATGATAGTGAGGATATGGACTTATATGGACTTTGAGGGGCTTGACAAAGAAGCCCTGCAAGCCTCTGTGGTGGATAGTGATACAATTGATACAAGTGATACAGGTGAGGGCCAATAATCTGCCCTCTGCCTCGGACCCAACCCCCCATCCCCGTGTGCCCAGCCATCTTTTCTACTAATATAAGTGTTAAAAAACCTAATATTATTGATATTTTTCTTAATTATTAAAATGTGTGTGCATACCATCATAAAGTTAAGAAGTTATTTTTACTACAATGTAGGTATTGTGTCTGAAAAAGTGGAGTTTGGGGTTCAGCCCGGTCTCTATTTCAATTAATCCCATATGTTATGTTGTTCACTTTACGCGTTTCTCACTTTACGCGGGCCGCCGTGGGTTCAATTGACCGCGTAAAGTGAGGGTTCACTGTATACACCTCTTATCAAGTTGCCCCTCACTCTACGTCGCTTGAAGGAGTGCAAATTAAGACGCTTTAACCTGTCTCTGTACTCAAGGTTCCTAATGCCTGGGATTAGCCTTGTCATTCTCCTATGATTTTTTCCAAGGATTCTATATCTATTCTGTAATACGGTGACAAGAATTGAACTACGTAATCCACACGAGGTCTCACAAGCGCAAGATATGGTTTTAGGATAACCTCTCTAGTCTTGTAACTAACACTCCTTTGTATGAACCCAAGTACTTTATTAGCCTTGTTACGAGCAAAAACACATTGTTTACTTGGCTTAAGGTTCCTACTTATCATTACTCCTAAATCTCTCTCGCAGTCGGATTTCTCTATGGCATCGTTGTTCATCTGGTATCTGGTTTCCATGTTTACATCTCCTATACTGAGTACTTTACATTTGTCCACATTGAATTTCATCTGCCATTTTTCAGACCATTCGAAAAATTGGTTTAGATCTTCCTGTAGTTTTGCGGAGTCCTAGCCAGATTTAATTACACGCCCTGTTTTAATGTCATCAGCAAATTTATTTATGTTGCTGTCTACGCCGATATCTGTGTCCTCTATGTACAGTAGAAGTCCAAAAATCCGGACTGCTTGGGGATTGGGTCAGTCCGGATTTTCGGATTTTCCGGATTCTCAGGCAGTACTTTTAAAATTCAAATTTAAGGAGAAATAAAGAAGAGATGAACAGGTACATTTTGATAGTTTATTCACTAGCAAATATAGCATGCTTCATTTATCAAAACGAGCAATTTTAAAGATAAAGCTGTGAATTCTAAAATTTTATTCTTTGCCTTTTTTATTTCATAAATTGTAGACTTTCCAATGTCGTATGTTTCCATTAGAACAGTATTGCTCACACCACATTCTAGTTTCTTAATTATTTCAAGTTTGTCACTCAATTTCAACGTGTTCTTCTTTCTCTTCACACAACGAAGTTTATCTACGTTAGGAGCCATTATTATGGGCTTGTACAGTATTCTGTAAATGGAAAGAGTAGGACTCAAAATTACATACGTTGTCACAGTTTGATTGCTCGTTTTAAAGTGGCGACCGCGTGGTCGCTTGTCACTGTGCAGCTGTGGCGCTCACGCATGCACACATACACACAAAAGCCAGCTAAAAAAAAAAAAAAAAAAGTTAAGTTTGAGTTTTCGAAAAGTCCGGATTCTCGGGTGGTCCTGATTTCTGGCATCCGGATTTTTGGACTTTTACTGTATACAGTTGAACCTCGATTTATGCGGTTCTCGTTTACGCGTTTGGTCATTTACACGGTACCTTGCCAGAACCGGGATGCCCGATTTGCGCAGTGAATTTACTCATTTAAACTGGTGAAGTATAATTTGTTTATTTAATGAAGATATTTGTTTTAGCTCTTAAAATTCATACAAATTACCCGGCCAGAATATAATTTACATTTCTGGAATTCTTATAAGATTGTGATTACTTTAAATATAAACATCATGGAATTTGCATTAGATATACAAATTTTAGATCTAATGTAAGAATTTTGATTACAAAGAGCCAAAATTTTATCTTTTGTGCAAAATGTATGACGTTTATATTCAAAATATTCCTGGTCTTGCAAGGAATCCAGCAATGTCAATTATATTATCCTAACTTTAGTCTGAGGTATTATTTATTACTATACCTTAAAATCTAGTGTTTTCATCCAAACATTTCTCAAGAGAGGGAGGAGCCAGTGAGCGTGGGAAGAGGGCGGTGGAGTCCATTATTTGAATGGACATTAACCTGGCGACTGTATTTCTCTTAAATATTAATTGTGTGTGCATACCATCATAAAATTAAGATGTTATTTTTACTACAACGTAGGTATTGTGTCAGAAAAAGTGGAGTTTGGGAGTCGGCCCAGTCTCTCTTTCAATAATCCCACATGTTCTGTTATTCAATTTACGAGTTTCTCATTTTACGCTCTACTCCGCGGGTTCAATTGACCTCGTAAATTGGGGACCACTGTATAATAAATAATAATGGTCCAAGTACTGAGCCTTGGGGAACTCAAGAAGTGACG